ATTACGTATCTTTTACCATAAATATGAATTCATGAAGAAACTGAATCTGACATGAGTTTTGCGATACAAATAATTTCTGATACATTTTTCAATGCCTGTATGATATCGTAATGACCCACATCCATACATTTTTTGATCATTTTTCAACCATGTTGGTGACACGATGGTTTCGTGCTCAGACATGAAATTCAAAATCTGACTTTACGGGATGATTGGGCATTACGAGGAATAGATCTGGTCAAATTTTCAACAACATTGATTTGTGGTACCGTAATGATGTAAAACTTTGAACAGGCTATTTTTTTATTGAAATTTCTTTAAACTTGGTGTGATTATTTATTTTGATAAGAAAATAATACTCATAAGTTTTCACGATAATTTAAGTTACTGCAACCATACATAGACCATAATTTCAGTTTATTCCCAAAAATTTCGGTTCCTTGTGCAAAAGTCAGCTTGCGTACGTAAGCCTCTTTATTTATTTTTTTTTTTTTTTCATAAAAAACGTAGAAGAAATGGTTTTATTTTTTACTTATTTAAACATCATTTTGAATTTTTTAAATCACTCCAAACGATTGATTCAATCCAATCTACATAGTATGCGACTCTCGTGTAAATGTTTGGTATATTCAATCCACATCTATCACTGATGGGTACAATACCAACTATTGTGCTTGTATTGGTTTTGAGATATTGCAAAGGGCCTCCACTGTAAACTCGACAGGAACCTCTACTTCCACCACCATAGGCACAATACTGCCCTTCAAAAAGGCCATTTCGGTTATATTGCGCACGACCTCTCGTCACCACTTTTGAGTTACATTCCTGTAGTGGCATTGATGTCAAATTTACTTTATACATTTGTGATGAAGTCGATGATCCTTAAACACATTTAGTTGAACTTTACACATTTCAAAATGAATTTGAAAATAAATTATTACTTACTTCTCGGATTTTGAAAATCCCAACCGGTAACAGTAAGCGGCACATTTGATGGTACCTCATCTAAATTTGTATGTAAACATGCTGGCCAAACAAAATTATTAAATGGAATTTTATCAACAACGCGAATCAAAGCAATGTCATTAGACATGGTTAAACGATCATAACCGGAATGAATGGTGATATTCTACACAAAATAATTTACATTATGTCTTTAGTTGTTATATGAAAATCAATATATATTTTTTCATAGTGACCTGTATATCACGCATGACTGGAGTTACTGTGTAATGTTTGGAATCGGCTAAAGAAGTCTATTAAATAATCATATTAAAAATGAAATGTAAAATGGTTTATGAAGAAACAATTCTATTACCTTTCCCAGTCGAACCTTTCTTAGTACACCCATTCTTGTGCAATGTGCTGAAGTGAGTACGAATTGGTCCGAAATAATGGTACCGCTACATCTGTAAACTAGTCTGTTTCTAACAAGATAGCCCAGCGCAGCCTGAGAATTAAACACCATTAGAAAATTTCCATGAAATGTAAAAAAAATCATAAATTTCGATCTCTCACCATCCAGGGAAAATCACCATCTTCCATCTTTTCATCCCCAAGAATATGCGGTGTTGGCAATTTACCGTACGTTTCACAAACTAAATCAAAGATAGTTGAAATTTCATCAGATATTTATAAAATCAATGAACTGTCTAAGTCAGAACTATGCGACTAAACCTACTAATTACCCATTTCTGAAATACGAGGTGTTTTTTTGAGTAATCCAATGATTTTTGAATTTTCTGTGTAAAAAAGAAAAGAGTCTCTGTTTAATCGAAGAACATTTTACATCGAATATAGTTATAATTAATACTTTTGCTTTGAGCAATACTCCAAGGAGTGACATTGTATTTATTTTTTGAATAAACGTTGGCTTTATTATTCACCAAAATTTCCACAATCTCTTCAAAACCTGGAAGGCAACCAAAAATCTCATATAATCGTAATTGAAAATTTTATCAGTTTCTTCTGAATATTTATACCATTCTCAACCGCTCTGTGCAGCGGTGTCCATCCATAGTCTTCTACTATATTAACATTAGCACCGTGTCGGATTAATGTTTCAACGACTTCTCTTTTGCCTTCATTTTTTATATGGGAAAAATAGATTTTTATTTAGTATCGCAAAAATAAACAGAATGAATTGAATTCGAGCACATGGCACAGTAAAAATTTAAGGGAGGACGATTAAAGGAGAGTTATCCGGGCTTACATTCTCCTTATGCCCCTGTATGTTCGTGACTGAAGAGATAAGAAAATAGATCAAACCTTCCAATGCAGCGCTGTATAACGGCGTTTCACCGGTAAAGGTCTGAATATTAACAACTGCACCCTTCCTAAGCAACAGTTCGACAATTTGCAGATAACCTATGGAAATGATTTTGATACAAAGTTTAAGAAATATTTTCAGGATTTTTGGTTTCCAAAACATTTTGTTGGCTTGAAAGAGTCACCTTTTTTTGCGGCCATATTTAATCTTAAGTGTAAATAAAAGATGAAATAATTAGACAAATTTCACGGGACTAAAACAGTTTCTCTACTTACGGTGTCCATCCATCATCTTTTTTAATATTTATATCAGCACCACTTTCGATGAGTATTTCAACAACATTATAGAAATCTAAATTTAATAAGAAATGTATTTTCTATCACTTATATCGTGCGTGTTAAATATATTAAGAATTTGAACACTTTTGTTACCATTGAGAGTTGCATCAAAAATTGGGGCACGTCCGTACTTATTTTTCTTATTTATGTCGGCACCATTCTCGAGCAAGACTTTAACTGCATCAATTTGACCTGATGAAGAAGAAAAATCAATATACATTTCTGTTGTATTTTTTTACACGGGCTTAAAATTATGAAATTACCATTTGCAGCCGCGACAAATAAAGGTGTTCGTTCACCGCCATCTACGATATTAACGTCCATTCCACTTTCCAGCAATCCTTTTATTTTTGCTACATCACCTGTGTCCATACAATGATTTTTGGATAGAATAGATCCGTAAGATCTCCGCAAGATCCGGATCCAAGCGTGCGTACGCTGCCGCATGATGCATACATATATAATACGCATGCAAATTCGTTATTCTTATTTCGCATACTTTGATTCGCATGCCATAGCATTACGGAATAACGAATGTATGTATCATGCGGCTACGTACGCACACTTGGATCCGGATCTTGCGGAGATCTTACGGATCTATTCTATCCAAAAATCATTGTATGCCTGTGAAACAGGTTTCAAAACTATCCCCATACACATGTTTATTTGAAGGTTTCAATTACCATTACGAGCCGCCGTATGAAGTTTTTGCCCTGGACTGTGACAATTTTTTTTTGTTGGAAATTCATATAATCAAAATGTGAAATGAAATTCATTGTTTAATACGGAGCCTGAGTTATTAAACTTGCTGACTTCTTACCAAGCATCAAATGACTTTTACTTACTTTTTAGGAGGTACCAGAATGTCGATGATTTGTTGATTTCCTGTCAAAAATGAAAAGAGTCTTCGTTAAATTGATGATAATTCGACAAATATAATTATAATTAATACCTTGCTTAACAGCAATATCATAAGCGGATTCATTGTTTCTATTCTTTAAATTGGCAATGGCACCATTTTTTTGTAAAGACCTTACGATCTCCACAAAACCTTAAATGACGAACGAAAAATGTCATGCGATAACAATTATTTGAGTTTCGTTATTTGTCTGAATACCTCCTTCAACTGCTTTATGCATCGGTGACAATCCATCGTTATCTTCTATGTTAACATCGGCACCCTTTTCGAGTAGCATTGAAACGACATCTTCATGACCTGAATTTTGAGTGAAAAAAAAAATAAAATTTATTTAGTTCGTAGAGAAAAAGAAAATCAAATGAAATCATGATTAAATAAATGAAAAATACCAGCCGAAACAGCGCTGTATAACGGCGTTTCCCCATCATTGTTCGGAAAATTGAAATCTGCGGCTGCTTCAATTAGCAGTTCAACAATTTGCTGATGACCTATGAAAATGATTTTAATTTTGAAAAAATAACGTTGAAAACATTTCTTTCGATTATCCCAAGAACTCAAATTTCACCGTTCGCCCCGGGGGGTTCTACACCGTGCGTAAACACGGAATAAAATTCGGAGCGAAAACCCCGGGACTAACGGTGCAATTTGAGTGCACCTTCACGAGCTGCGACATTTATTGGAGTCCATCCGGTATTATTTATTACATTTACGTCAGCGCCATGTTTGATTAGTAAGTCTACAACACGATCGTGACCTTAAATTTTGATTAAATTTAAATGTTCAAACATATAAATAGTTTTGGTTATTTAGTTTCTTTAGGCTTAAAATTGGTTACCATAGAAACTTGCAAGATAAAGTGGAAAAGTGCCGTGGGAACTTGAAGAAATATTTGCACCATTATTGATTAAAAACTCAACCACATTCGATTGACCTGAGAAAATGGGAATTCAAAACATTTTTGTATCTATTCATTGTATTTTGACAGTATCGAAGATATGAAATTACCCTTTGTCGCTGCCGCACATAAACCCAGGTTATAAGCACTATCTAAACGATCAAAGTTCACTCCTATTCTCAGCAATTGTTTAATTTGTATTAAATCCTTTGCCTCGTCTAATCATAAATAAAATTTAATAAATTCAACTGAAAATGGAATTTGAGTATAAAATCTTCGACAACACGAAGACAGCTTTCACTTTTATTTGAATTATTACACACTAATCACCAGAGTAGTGAGTGGATTTTATCTTAAATAAAACATACCTGAAGTGGCATTGATCAACACTGCACAAAAATATAGAATGCTTAGGATGAGTGACTTCATGGTTGAATTTACACGAAATTCAATTAATTGAATTGGTTACGATTAAATTATAATGGAAATGAATCTACCAAAAACTGAAACGAAAATGTCTGTTTAAACTCAATTTTTGCGATATTGACCTGAACGGAATTAAGAAGAAAGCGAACTGCTCGTTAAAGATTACATTTCATTATGGTTGAGCATTTTGTGCTTTCATGACAACTTATTAATGGAAGTGATTATTTTCAAATTAGATAAACCCCAGCGTCATATGTCAACGTTGATAATAATTTTTGCGTGTATTTCATATTTTTAGCCGTATAAAAGTCATGCAATGTGACACATTGTGAATCATAAAATTATGAAATACCCAATAGACTGACCGGTTTTTTTTCTTCATATTTTTATTTTCTTTTCGGAGCAAATTTTTTCTGAAACCGCTTGCTATCAACTATATTAACAAAATTTTGAATTTCGTACTTCCTTTGATATGAAGAAGATGACAAGCAATCGTGCAAAATGAGTAGTAGGAAGCTCAACGGGTGAAACCGATGATGCTGCAATCTATGACAAACCAGGAGCTGACGACCAGCCAGAGTCACGTACAAACGCACAGTGAGCGCATTGTATAGAAGTACATATAATTTTAGATGATTGTTTACTTACACTAGCGCCACAATTGATTCAACGTTCAACAAGTAAAATTAAGCAGTTAGATGTGAAAACACATTCACGCACAACATTAAATCGTAGCATACTCTGTAAGACAAGAGCAAAAGCTGGTGTTGAAACACCGTTTTAAAACGTCACCGTCTCTTATCGTTTGTGGCGTTACTGTACGAAGACGTTTGTCAGTGGGTTCACCGTGTGCGTACAAAGGCACGGGCGTCGCTAGCAGGGGGCAGAGGGTGCTCGTTTTTCATGTGTCTTGCCCTCCCCTAATGGAATTCCTGGCGACGCCCATGTACAAAGGAACCAAATTTGGCGATTAAAGATGTTGGAAGTCCGATCGCCGGTTCGTCTAATGAACATCCGCCGTCATCAACCCAGCTTATCAATTTGAATAAGAATTGTTTACGCAAAATATTCGCTTGATTATCAATAGGAGAATTAAATTCGTTGGCAAAAACATGTAAAAAATTGCAAAAAATAGCCGGTGAATATTTCCATACTAAATATATTATCTGTGTATACACAGTATGCGCGAGATTAAAAACGGTGAACTATCAACATCAGAGTTGAATGATCCAGTTGCATCGCTGATTGGTCTTGCGAAATTTGTCAAAAAGGCAATTTGGCTTTTTTCTCAAACGTTGAAAAATGAATTTAATTTTGATTTTTAAAAAAATGTAATTTTTATTCTATTTTTATTTCAGATGCTTTCTTATGAGTTTACATAAAACATGTTTTGCTGAAAATACAGATTACAGTCGTCGAGTTTGAAACGACTGATATTATTTACATTTGATTGCTATAGAATAAAAACAGCGTATGGAAAGGTTGCATTTCAAAGCGAAACACCGTCATACAAAATACAGCAAAAAATGTATGTAAAAACAAACTTTGGTGTGCGACCGTATCATACGCTGTATTTATTCTAGAGAATTCATTTACATATCAATGGCATACAAAACCTTTGTATGTTCGTCATTGGTTCCACTGTTTTTGCTTCTGACTCAAGCTTTTTTCTCATGCCAATCAAAAACTGTGCCCATGTTTTTCGCTGTTCATTGTAACTGCTCATGATGAATTTCATATGGCATGAACAGAGAGTAGAAAACGCTGCCGCTATAGTAATACTATATTAACAGTGCCTATAAATAGTTACTATTTGTACACATTTCGATTGTGTGATCACAATAATTTTTGCGAACTCCAATGTGAACAATGCAACTCTTTGTATGTAGATTTTAAATATAAAGAGCCGCATTGTTCACATTAGAGTTCGCAAAAATTGTTGTGGTCACACAATCGAAATGTGTACAAATAGTAACTATTTATAGGCACTGTTAATAAAGTATTACTATAGCGGTAGTGTTTTCTACTCTCTGGACATGAAAGAACATCACATAATTTGCATTGATTTTCTTCGCTTCATTCGCATTGGCCGCGTTCAAAAGTTTATTGCACAATTCAATAACGGTGGCCTTATCCGCTCCAATGCTCGCTTCAAGTTGGTCAGCTATTGTCATTTTACTGTTGAATTGCTCGCGCAATCGCTCGTATTCCGATTGCATTACATGCAAATCACGTAAGACTTGTTTCAAATGCTTTTTATTAGGTAGATTCTCAATCCATTGCTCATATGAATCGCCAAACTTATAATCTGCGATACAAATCTCTGACAATTCGTACGAAATTATTGGATAAATGATGTGGCATGCTTTTCTTATACCAACTTCCTGTACTAAATTAATGTCTTTGAATTTCCGATGAAAAAGCAGCCATCTCTTCTGTATATCGGATATCACTTGGTGTACTTGATCTATATAGGTGGTATTCAGGAATGGAAGAGTTAGAACCTCAAATTTGTTTCTAATTTCATCAACCGTTGTGAATGGAGTCAACAGGAAATTTAAATTTTATTCTATGGGAAGTTTTGCGGCAGATAATTTTGCTTTAAATTTATCCACTAACGTAGAAAATGTCACGTTGTCATCGCCATTGATCAGCTTTATGGATTAAGATTGGAAATATTAAAAGTCCGAAATAGAAGAAATGACAGAAGAAAAAATATTGAAAAATTTATTATTTTTTACAATTTCTAATACCTGAACAAATAATGATAGCAATAAGATACTTGAAAACAATCTCATTTCTCTCACTCAAATTAAACGCTTTGTACAAAACAGAAGTTTAAATAATTCAGATGATTGTTTATAAGGTGTTTTATATACGCTATAATGATGGGACTTTAATCGTGTTAACATTCACGAAAATTCAAATGGCATTTCAGAAATGGATGGCGAATAAACGCAAAATCGGTATTATTATTACAAAATTTCATTCGATTCAATAAAAAAATTTAAACTAGTAGAAAATAAAATATTTTTCAAGCCAATATAAGTGTTCACATATAGTTTGATCGAAAACCCCGAATTATCCGTCATTAGTTTTAAGAATCTCTCATTAGTTTTACGATACAAATAATTTTCGACACACTTAAAATTTTCATACAAAAACTACTAAAAATGGGAATTTTCGTATCGGAGCCATGATATCGAACTATATGATATCGAACTATAACTATGTGAACGATTGAGCAAAAAATCGGATTTTTTTTTTGAAAGGTACCCCTAATATGCATCGAAATCTCTTCAAACTTTCAGAATGTTATTTTTTTGTGATAAAAATAACCTATGCAAAGTTTCAGCCATACAATGATTTTTGGATAGAATAGATCCGTAAGATATCCGCAAGATCCGGATCCAAGTGTGCGTACGTAGCCGCATGATACATTCGTTATTCCGTAATGCTATGGCATGCGAATCAAAGTATGCGAAATAAGAATAACGAATTTGCATGCGTATTATATATGTATGCATCATGCGGCAGCGTACGCACGCTTGGATCCGGATCTTCCGGAGATCTTACGCATCTATCCTATCCAAAAATCATTGTATGGTTTCAGCTCATTATGATATCATACAGGTATGGCATAAATACAAAAATCAAGTTTTTTTTTGAAATTTTGGTATGAAAAGTGTGTCGAAAATTATTTGTATCGCAAAACTAACATCATATTCGGTTTTCTCGTACCCAAAAACCCTCCAATACATATTTTTGAGTGTTTAGGAATACATTTAATGAGGGCATCACACCAGATGTGTGCGGAAAAGAAAAAAGTTTATAATTCTTGTTAACGTGAATTCATCACACAGTCGATAAAAAAATGTTGAATATCAAGTGTGTTGTATCGATGCTCTTTGGAGTTCTTTTCATTTTCAAAATTGTCGAGGCCAAAGTTTATCTTAAATTTAAAGCTCTGGATCCATCAACGAAAAAGGAGACGAAATATCACGTTGAAGATTTACCTCAATCATTATTTCAAATAACAGCGCACTACATGTGGGAGCATTTTGTTGAAAAAGAAGCTTGGAGTCTTATGCGTGAGCCACTTGGATTTGGAAAAGACAATTATGGAAATTACATCGCACATATGGTGAATAATGAGATGAGCCAAAATACATCTTTGGGTTGCTTTAAAACTTCAACTTGAGAGTTGGTTGGCTTTGATCGAACAATGTGACGAGGGATCTTCTGCACCTGTAATTGTTTTTATATTTAAAAATTAATACGATCACATATTAATTTCATTTCTTTCCAGACAATTGTATATAAAAAAAATCGAAATCGAAAACCAATGGAAGTACTTGTAAACCAAATTTTTGGAGCAATATACTTTAATGTATGTGACAAGTATGGAGTTAATAGATATTTGTGTAGCGATGGACTGGTTGTTCTTCCAGATTATCGTGGTCTGGGTATAAGCACGAACCTTCTACAAGCAAGACAAGGAATTTGCAAAAAGTACGGATTGCACGTATCTTCATCCACGTTTTCAGGCGACATCTCCAACAAAGCAGCCATATCAGCTGGATTCACGAATCTTGACGTAAGCATACCGTAAGTATCGACGTAGAAAAACAACAATACTTCATCTGTATTAATCGATTGAATTCTGTTTCAGATGGAAAGAATTTATCAATGCACATGCCGAACTAGCTCATTTAAGGGAGTATGTAGAAAACAGCGAATATTTTACACGTAGATCGATCATCTACAATTTTTAAAACGATTATTTTTCGATCACATTTTTTCTTTTGATAATTATAAATTTTAAAATTCTTATATTGCGAAAATGGGACTATTTGTATTCGTTGCGTTCAATTAGTTGACAGAAGAGAAGAAAATGAAGTAACTTGCAAAAAAATTGTTTTTCATGTTTTGAACTAACTTTAATTTCAATGTTAATTTAATTCAATCATGCACGTTTCGTGAAGTTAGAGAGAATTAATATTTTCCTCATATAATACTACTTTTGCTCAATATTGAAACTTTGAATAAATATTTGCTAGATTCACTAAAAAATTTATTTTTTGTATAATGTGTCATGATGTACACAATTGATTTGAGTTAAGGTTAAAGTTTGCTTTCTTTTGAACAGTTTTGCATCTTTTTGTGTCATTGATGACTGAGAACAAGCTATGTGCAAAAGAGTTCCTCATTTCTTGGAGTTGCTTTAAATTTGGATCTAAGAACTACATTTCAAAATAAAGTGCTGAAGCTTCTTAAATGTTAAAATAACAACAAAATACTTTATAATGCATCAAAATTGAATATCAATGCTTCATCATGAGATTCGAATTAAAACTTCAAAGTTGCCTTCTTTGTGGTTGGCCATGTAATTTACTGCGTAATTGTCTTGAACGCCATATAGTAAGTGACTATTGATTTTATTATCTGAAAAACAATTTCAATTTAATTCAATGCAAAACACAACAAAATTCCACTCACTTTCGAGAACGTTTCCAAATCCAAACGAGCCACACTAAAACCACGATAAAACATTGGATGTTTAGCATTTCCAATCATGAGAATAAAGCATTTTTGCAATTCGACCGGAAGTTCATACCAATTCGATCGATACAAACAGCCGCACATTTTATCATAACTTTCGTTCGCCAATTTACCAAAGAAACAATACAAAAACAAAGTCAGCAGTGATATTGAAAATGCCAACAGAAGAAAGAGAATTCTGAAATCAATGTGTTTCAATTGCTGAAATGATATAGACATTTTTTTGGTTAAAAATTGGACAATGGACAAGTTTAAGGAAAATGTCGAAAATACCAAATCCAACTGAAAAAGGACACAGGATAGATAGATTATTGTGCTGATGAGCAATATCATTATGAAGCTACCGTACACTTCTGCTGAATCTAAGAACCATCTGAAAAATGGATTAAGTTTTTTTCTTAACTTTGTATTATGTGGAACCTAGGGGACGGAAACCATTAGCTAGTTTTTTATATTTCAAGTAAAAACTAGGAAAATTAGAAAAAAACTAGCAAAAACTAGAAAAATTAGCAAAAATTAGCAAAAATTATTTGATCCGCCATTTTGATATTGTGCCATGATTTGGTGACTAAATCAATTTTACAAGTCGACTATTGAAAGGAACAAGTACTTTATGCACGATTTTGTGTTAAAAAAGAATAATTAAACTAATTTTCACTATTATAAGTGTATATTTATTCAAAACACATAAAAATATGTCTGAACAACAAAACGTCAAAATACTTCATTGTGTCAGTACAATCATTTGATTGTCATTTGACAGAACAAAAAACTAGAAAACTAGCAATTTCATAAAGGAATATTAGCATTATTAGATTATTCAAGCAATAAACTAGTAAATTAGCTAAAAACTAGTAAATTAGCTATAAACTAGAAAAACTAGCATTGGTTTCTCTCCCCTAGTGTGGAACCAATGTATTGAATAATTTCTTAGACTTTTTTCTTGCGTCATTTCCTAGCGAGCCAATTCAATTTTTAATGTACAGAGTTAAACTTACTTCTTGATCGAAGCATGAAAACGAATCAATTCAAACAGCAGCTCTTTGCGATTTGAAATGTTATCCGGCCGCTTTAATTTCGTCACCAAATCTTGAAACATTCCATAAAATGCTTGATGATTCAAACACATTGAAATGAAAAGCGTCAAAAGAGGCAACGACACAAACAGATACGCTTCGCCCATGAGGATTAGAAAAAATATCTCAATTACGTAACCAAGAATGGTTTTTTGATTCCAAGGGAAACTAAAATGAATTATAAAGTAATACCGAATATTTTAGTATATTTCAAATGTTCAAAGGGGAGGAAGTATATTTAAATTTTAAAAAGTTACTATTATATAATTACATCACTTTGAATGGATAAAATGCATATTCTGTATCAAATTCTCCAATTTTTACATAAGAAAAAGTCGCTGTCGCTATGGACAACACAATGGTACCAACGGAAAATATGTACACAGCACAGAAGTGACACAATTTATAAAACCATTCACTGGAGTTGTTTGCTTCCACCAATAATTGAAATGAGTCTTCATTTGCATCTAAGAGGAAATTTGCAATAAATAAAAATTCTAATTTTTGTGACTTGTGTTTGGAGATACTTACACTTTTCATAAATTTCGTTGAGGTCTATGAAAATTCCATTGATTCTGTGTTGGGAAAAAAATGCCACAATGGCAATATAGACCGCAACAATTGTACCAACAATTTGGAATATTGCGTATAATGATTCTTCAAGGTAAACTGACACAAATTTGATGAAAAAAGCAATACTCGCTACACATCCAGCTGACGACAACGGTGAAATGGTACAAGCACAAACCAAACGAACCCGTCTTTCCCATTTGCCCATTTTTTGGTCGGCTGAACACATGTTCAGCCAAATCAATGCTTGATGAACCGATTGAAGTGGTTTCATTTCACAGATATGGGTGAAAAAAAATTGATAATGTTTCCGCGAAATGTAATAAATGAATTTTCACACCAAAACTTAATTCGAAAAAAATTTCGTCGATTTACAGAATTTTCCTTAAGAATGTCCAGTTGCTTAATTTTACTTCACTTGAGAATTTAAACTGACATTGTATGTGGTACGGAGCGCTTTTTATACGCTCATTCTTGTTTAAATATTAAGGTGATATTCCCCTTCACTGTAGCAGAATGTCAATCCAGTGTTACGCCTATTGATGGTGAATTTTTAAAAATTCTTTCATTTCCAAACAGTGAATAGAATGACCATTTTCAAACCATGAAACGTTGAAACATTCTTGAAAACGTAAACAATGCATATTTCATAATCCATACTTGAAGTATGATACTTCTTTTGATCAGGAAGTGGCCAAAATGATTTTTAAATTCAACCATCACCCAGAGCATGGAAATAATGACAGCTCGGCAACGCTTTGTTAGAGATTAGTACCGCTGGCAACCGCAGAACTATATAGAATTATATGAAGTTATTTGGTGGCGTTAGTAAGCAGTCTTATTGCAATGCTTTGCCATCACCGTTGGTTTTTTTATCATGCATTGATGTCGATTTATTGGCGTTTTTATGACAAGCACACATCTGTATTCTGTATTTAAAAATGAAAATTCTTGAAAAATGTACATTTGATAAAATGCAAACGTCCAAAAATTGTTTACTTCGTGTCAATCATTTTTCGGTTATCGTCCATAAATAGCTTTTGATAGAACATAAAATTGTGACTTCATGCATCCGAAAAACTTCGCGCAATGACGAAACGTTCTAGTTTTTGGTTACAACGAATAAAATGACGATGTTTTTTATTGATTAATCATCAAGCTGACATGTTTATGGAAATTTTCGAGAAAAATTTGTTCAAAATCCGTGAATGTTCAAAAATCAGATGCTTTGTGTGGATTTTTATTATTGCGAACAATTCTTAATAAAATATTTAAACTACTTGTTTCTCGTGTTATATTTTGCACATCCAAACACAAACTAAAGAGTTTGGGAGCTTTAAATTCAAAAATTCATTGGAAGCGATGTCACTGCGATTCAATATGAATGCTTTAGAAAATGTTTGGTAGTTAGTTCCTTTATTTGAGCACTTACAGATTGCTCAAAACTAACGTTGAAAGAATGTTTAGAAAATAGAGAAGAAGGGAGGAGAGTGTCGCTATGAAGTAGTTAAGTGAACATGGCGCAATTTTTTTTTAATGACCCATTCTAAATTTTTTTTAGAGAGATAGCGTATATATACTTGAGATAGTGTTTGACGGTCAAACTTTGACCAGATGATAGCATACAACACACCAGTCAGTTTAACTTGAATTGTGTGAGCGAATAGAAGCAAAACAAAAAATGTTCATTGAGTTACTGTTACTAATTTTAACTGCGATTGTTTTTATTGCATACACGTACTACAAACGAACGCAAAACCTTTGTGCATATTTCGATGAACGAAATCTAAAATACAAAAGTGGATTGGCTGGATTACAGTCATTTTATTCCATTTTGTTTAACAAAATAGACGCTTTTGAATTGAGTCAAAGTTTTTATGATGCATTTCCTGACGAATCGTACGTTTTTGCACACTTTAACCGAATTACTTAATTGAATTTCATTCAAAATCATTTTATAGAATCTATGGAGTGCTCGATAGCACCATTCGTCAATATGCCGTTCGTGATCCTGAGGTCTATAAAAAGATTGCCATCAAAGATTTCGATCATTTCGAAGACCATCGTGCCATTTTCAACGAGAATATGGATGAATTATTTGGAAATAGTTTGATATCGATGCACGGTGAGAAATGGCGTCAAATGCGAGCGACACTTAGTCCAGCGTTCACTGGAAGTAAAATGCGTCAAATGTTTGAGCTGGTGTCAGAATGTGCCGATGAAATAGTTAAATATTTTCAGAAAAAGTCCGCAAATGGTGAGAAAATCAACATTGAAATGAAAGATTTCTTCTCGCGATACACAAACGATGTGATCGCTACGTGTGCCTTCGGCATTAAGGTAAATTCCTACGCTGATCCAAACAATGACTTTTATGCGAACGGTAAAAAAATATTAAACTTTGGCGGTTTCTTTAAAACTCTCAAATTTTTTGCCATAATAATTTTTCCGAAAATTACCCGAGGTTTGAAATTGAAGTTTTTTGATCCATTGGTATCGAATTTTTTCAAAAATATGATTCTTGACACAATGAAAATGCGACAAAATAATAAAATCCATCGGCCTGATATGATAAATATGCTGATGAAAGTGCGTGAAGGTAATTTGGAGCAGCACAATGATGAAAAGATACAAGAAGGTTTTGCAACGGTCGATGAATCAGATGTTGGAAAATTCACTGTCATCCGCAAGTGGAACGACAATGAAATTGTTGCGCAATGCTTTTTATTCTTTTTGGCCGGATTTGAGACATCATCGACGATGCTCACCTTTGTTGCTCATGAACTCATTGTAAATGCGGATGTTCAGCAGAAACTGTACGAAGAGATTGCCGAAGTGAACGAACGACTGGGCGGAACACGAATTACATACGATGCACTTCAAAAAATGAAATATTTAGATCAAGTGATTTGTGAAGTTTTGCGGAAATGGCCACCCGCCACTCAAACCGATCGTAATTGTGTTAAAGACTATATCTATGATGACGGCAAATTGAAGTTTAAAATTGAGAAGGGATCTAACGTCATTTTTCCCGTTTATGGCATTCAACATGATCCGAAATACTTTCCAAATCCAGACAAATTTGACCCGGAGAGATTTAACGATGAAAATAAACATAATATTGTACCAGGCACTTATGTACCCTTTGGAGTCGGTCCGAGAAACTGTATTGGTATGTCATTGGTGTATGCACCACTTTAATTTTTTTTTGCAACCAACGAATTTTTTCGTACGTGAACGATGTTGAATGTAGTTTTTTGAACATTTTAAATATTTGATATAGGTTCTCGTTTCGCCCTGATGAAAATGAAGGCCATTCTTTATTATTTGTTGTTGAACTTTTCATTCAAATCGAATAAAGACACACAAATTCCATTGAAGATGAAAAAAGTTCCATTCCAAATATTGACGGAAAAAGGTGTGCACCTGGAGTTGAAGCCGCGTCTGAATTGACGTGCAGTGATGACAACATGGCGTTTCTTGCTGATAAGACTTATCAATTAGGTCGAATGCATTAGATAATTCAAGATTGAGTGTACAAAATCTGATAAGGAAACAACACGATTTATATCAATAAAAAGGCCATTTGACTTGAATTCGTCAACGATTTCAGTATATATTTTTTCATATTTTTTAAAATGTTGATTTTTATCGATAAACAAAGATTATTATTTTCTAATTCACTTCTGGAAAGAAGAAAATCAGAGAAAAGAAGATGAAATGATGGAAAAAAAATATGTGAGCAAAGAGAGGTTATATAATTAAATTGGTATGCAAACCCAGACTTATGATATGACTTTGGTGTGTTCATTGTGCAATTGGCCTTGACTCTTTGGTGGTTTTATTACTGTCAACTTGATGTTGAGTAAACAATGGACCTAAAGAAAAACTGCATTTGTTAATTACTTTTTGTCAAAAGTTGATGTTTATTTTTGTATTATTTGTTTCTTTTAAATTACAGACAATACTGGTTTTTGCACACGATATTCAACGAGGACATTATTGAAAAACACATGGGTAGAAGGGAAAATATTGTCTGTCCAGAACGATGATGAACCTCCAATTAATAGACGATACACAGTTAATGTTCTAGCACAAGATATTGTCGTCAGGGACATTTTAAATGGGAAGGCTAGCTTAATATAGACCAGGTAAAATATTTGCAATTTTCAAATAAATTAGTCATTTTTTAGTTAATAATATATTGATCATTATTTGTTTTTAGGTGAACTGGTGTGGTATAACATCAACCTTTGCAATGTAGACCATGATTATGCAAGTCATGAATACCTACACACTGATGCTCCAGTATTGTCTGTAATTAAAAGAAACAAAAAATTTGTTTATAGGTGATATTGAAAAAGAAACTCCTGCATCAACTTACCGATACTGAGAGAGATACTAAATAAGAACAGACACAATATGACCTTCATAGTGAATTCTTTCTGACCGTTTCTGACTCGTTTTTGAGTGCAACATGGTATATATAGTAACGATTGAATGACAAACATTTATTTTTTTTTGAAAAAATGCAATAAAATGATAATAATTTAAAAAGCTAAATTTCAAACCACATTTTCAATTGTTGTAGCTTGTTGTATTTACTCTGTACATTTCAAATGTTCAAACTTGAACAATAGAAATTGTTTTGAAAAATATAGAATGCTCTTAATGTTTTTTTGCAAAAAGTATTTACAATGGTAGAAAAATAAAATGTCTTACATACGTAAGATGAACTTTTCCGCACTGTGATCCACAAAATTCATTTATAAGTTATAAATTATAAACTATAACTTATCTTTTACTTGAATTTGAACTCACGAAAAACTGAATCTGACATTAGTTTTAGATAAAAATAATTTTCGAAGCACTTTTCTTACAAAAACTACTAAAGATGGGAATTTTTGTATCGGAGCCATGCCTATATGATATCGTAATCATGTGAAAATTTGCAGAGGTTATTTTTTTCACAAAAAGTTAACATTCTGAAAGTTTGAAGAAATTTCAATGCATATTAAGGGTACTTCCCATACAAAATTTCGTTTTAGAGCGAAAAATCCAAAATATTGTTCGGGAGGTGCCCCTAATATTCGTTGAAATGTCTTCAAACTCTCGGAATAGTATTTATGTGTGATAAAAATAACCTGTGCAAAGTTTCAGCTCATTACGATATCATACAGGCATGGCTTCCATACAAAAATCCAAATTTTTTGAATTTTTTGTATGAAAAGTGTTTCGAAAGTTGATTGTATCGCAAAACTAACGTCATATTCGGTTTTCTCGTACCCAAAAACCCCCCAATACACATTTTTGAGTGTTTAAGCATACATTAAATATCACTTTTGGAAGAAAAATTGAATTTTTCCCATGGATGGACATGGGCATCACACCAGACATGACACTTTACCCTGTCAACCAAAGTCGCTCAAAATTTAATGGTTTCTATTCCTCGGCACCCCCAATCATCCTGTGAAGTCAGATTTTGAATTACTTTTCTTGTTTGAAAGTTATCGTGTTAACAAATTTTTGCGTACAGGGTACAGCGTACAGCGTACAGCGTACAGGGTACCACGCACATACATTCGGACATCGAAAAAACGCTAGATTCGTGTTCCCTGGCTCCTAAAACACCCAGAAAACATGTTTTTTGAGGATGTCAATTTTTCGACCGATTCCAATACTTTACCTTACACACTAGGTGTGTGCGGAAAAGTAAAATGAAATATATTTGACAGATTAAGAATTTAAAGCAACGAAAATATGTTTGTTTGGTAAAGTGTTGTATCATGGATATGAGCCTAAACTTATGCAATTGCATTTTGACTTTGATACAATAAAAGTGAAATGCTTAAAAGCTTTTTTTAGATTTTGAGATTGATAAATTTAGTTTTTTCAAATAAAATATTAATTAAATCTAATAACCTATGCCTATCCGTTTTATATATTTTTATTGCTCTTTGGAAAACAATGGACCTTTGCATAGCACCATTTTCGGATGCTGTAATTACATTAGAAACGTAATTAAAACTAACTAGCGTCGGTATTTTTAACGATACGATTATGAAAGAGTCCATCTTCAGAAATGATTTTGAATTTTAACTTATATATGCTCTTTCAAACTTCAGTCGTTATTCAATCGACAAGATCATTTGTGTTTTGTCAAAAATTAACGTAAAGAATTTTGTTCTAACCTTAACACAATGGATACAAATTCTAGTGGAACTGTAACAAGTCATCTCATTAAAGATTTCATTGATACACAAGAATTTTTGTTTCAAGATACAAAGAATGGGTAAGTGTCGAATAGTTGATTTCCTCATTTAGTTAAGAAACCACAAAAAGTAATGTTTGTTATTTATTTTATCCTACAGACCTGCTAATGTACCAAATCAAAGAAGAAATAAAAAAGATATAATTAAAGCCATTGAAGAATATCTAATTACCAATGAATATGAAGCGCCCCAGAAATTTCTAACACGAATCAGAATGTCACTAAATTAGTTGAAATCATCAGACAACCAACAACTATTGAGTCACAAGTACCGGACAATGGAATGAATTTGGCCAATGAAGGAATATTGCTACATGGAAATGATATAATGGAATTACCATTCGAATGTGAATCGATCGGCATGAAATCTAGCAACAGTGCTCAAAACAACAATAATAATGGTTGAATCAACAATTCAGATAATTTCATTAGTGCCGGATAATGGAATGTTGATTGATCAAACGAATGAAACTGTTTTTAAGTTATCGTCTGCCGAAACATTGGAATTTAATAAACCAAAGGGAAATATTGCAATGCAATATGAAGCATTAGTTGGGGATTTGATCGGCACAGATGACAGCGATAAAGATTCATTTGAAGAAGACATCGTTATAAAGCATTTTAAATGCGAACTTTGTTCGAAAGGGTTCACTGAAAAAGGGAAACTTAAAATTCATATTTGAACTCACACCGGTAAAAAAAAGTAAACCCCATAAAACAAACAAAAATTCATTTATAAATTGAAAATAAAATCCATTCTGCAGTGATGAGCACATTAGATCGCAATCGTCGCCTAGGAAAACGCACCTTTAAGACAATACTGGCTAACGAGAAACCATCACTGCCATTTTGCAGTTTTCATTGACGGATGAACGGACAGGGTGCATCGACGCACATTAAGATATCCAGAAATCGGCTCCAATAGTGTTTTCTCATCAGAATAATATTTTGGATGACCCCCTTGGTGTAATACGATACCCTTTTCCGACACACTGAGTTCACGTAAATTTAAAGTTAATATTATTTGTTAATTTTAAGTAATAAAGCATTCAATAAACTATGTTCATCAATCATTAACATAAGATTTGTTTCAAAAAATGCTGTTTAAATTCTAGCTTGTGCGAAGTAGGAAACGAAAATGAAATATATTTTCAAACAAAGTCCCCAGACAACAAATTTACATACTTTAGCAATTGCATACTTCTGGTTTATTATTTTCGATTTATATCAATTTTCTATTTTATTTACTATTTCATCGCAAATATATACATATACAGAGAAACAAAAAAATATAACAGCACCACAGATTGACAATCTTTTGTCGGGTGACCACAAAGACTATCTCGGCTTAAAATCGTATTCGCTTTGATAACAAATGCCAGTGCTAGAGTGCTTTGGTTTCGTGTGGCCTTGCAGATTTTCTTGTGGGTTCCATGGCTTGTTAGTTCCGCTATATCAAATAAATATACTCAGCAAACGCTTCAGAAAATTATCACAATAAATCAGACCTTTTTTGTTTGATAAATTTGCACCGCAAAAGTTATCTTCTTTTTTAAAATCCGGTAAAAAGTCTTGACGAACCGCAATCAGCAGATTATGCAAAATTCGCACGAAAATTTTCTAGAACATATCACCGATAAATTTGATTATAAAAGACTATGTGAATTAGCTTGAATTCACAATTCAGTTAGTAAAGTGGTCATTTACACACGGTAAGCTTGCTTATTTCCAAATAAAATTCGAAAAGTCAATATGGACAAGAAAATCGTTATTATCGGAGCCGGACCTTCAGGAGTGGCAGCTGCCACAAAACTTATGTCGAATGGCTTTAGCAACGTGACAATTTTGGAAGCTGGAAATCGCATCGGCGGAAGAATCAATACCATTTCATTTGGTGCAAACGTTGTCGATATGGGGGCACAATGGTATGAATTTCTACTTTTCTGTGATTAATTATTTTTTTTAGCTTTTTTGCCATTTTTCCTTGTCTTTTATTATTATTATTATTATTTATTCAGAAAAACAGCATACAGTTTGTTTAAATTACAATTAATGAAAATGCTGGCTCGAAGCCCAATTTGTATGTTGATGACTTAAAGTTAAAATAAAAAAAAAATAAAAAAAAAATTGAACATTTTAAATTGCAACGAATCATTTAAATTTAAATTTTTTTAATATTTAATAAATAATCAAAAATATTTTTTCGAAAAATGTCAAGGCTTTTAGAATTACGAATATCTATTGGAACATTATTCCACATTTTGGAAATGCAATGAGCAAAAATATTTTCATTTGAAACTTTTGAAATCTTCATAACTTTTAAATTAAATGTATCTATTCTATGTATTGTATGTATATCTTCTAGGTGTCACGGTGAAAAAAATAACGTCGTTTATGAATTGGCCAAGGGAAAAAATGTATTGGCGCACAGTACCAAAATCCAAGAACTTAAACTTATCCAATCTGATGGTACCGACGTTCCAATCGAGATTACAAAGAAATTATCTGATTTGGCTTTCGATTTATACGATGGTGACGACTACGATGACGAAAGATCACAATTCAATGGTTCAGTCGGCAACTTTTTTGCAAAAAAGTAACACAATTTTAAACGATTCAATTTCGAATTTGATTTTGATGAATTTTTTTGGAATTCCTTTCTTTATAGATACAATGAAGCATTGAAAACTGATGAATTTAAAGACATCAGCCCCGAATTGGCTCATCAATTTTACGATTTATTCCATGAATTAGCGAATTCACTTGATGGCGCCAATTCATGGTATGAAACATCATGCAATTCACATGAATATGAGGACTGTGAAGGTGATCGAACGTTGAACTGGAAGGACAAAGGATATGTTACGGTTTTTGATTTGTTACAGGTATTTCTCATTTGTTTAATGACATCGCGATTAAAAGCACTATTTTGTCAATGTGAGAGAGTTGATATAATTCAAATAATTTCTCCATTCAAAAATAGAATAAAATTCCTGGTGGTGACAAGTCTCAGCCTATAATCGATGTTATTCCGCTGATCCAATTCAACAAAGAAGTGATGAAAATCGCTTACAATCAACCAGATGGACTTGCAAAAATCACATGTAAAGACGGAAGTTCCTATTCAGCCGATCATGTGATTTGCACCGTTTCATTGGGCGTTCTAAAAGAAAGATGTTTGAGCATGTTCGAACCGTTGCTACCTCGATGGAAATACAATAGCATCGACGGCATGATGATTGGAACCGTTGACAAAATCTACTTGGAATTCGACAAACCATTTTGGAGCGAAAATTGGGAAGGATTCTCTTGTTTGTGGAACTTGGAGCAGTTGAAAGAGGTACGAGAGGATCCGGTGAATGGGGACTGGCTCGAAGGGATTAACGGTTTTTATCCAGTCAATCCACTGCAACCCAATCTTATTTGCGGATGGGTCACTGGTGATTTTGCACGCAAAATGGAAGAAAAAAGCGATGAAGATGTTAAGACCGGCGCTGAAAAGATTCTTCGACAATTTTTGAAACATTTAAACATTCCGGATGCCACGAAAATGATTCGGTAAATTGAATTGAAACGATTGAATTTATATCCACAATTATATGTTCATTTCGTTTTTTGACAGCTCAACATGGTATTCAAATCCACTTTTCCGCGGATCTTACTCATGCTATACGTTGAAGGCCGAAGCATTGGAGGGAAATGTTCAAAAATTAGCCGAACCGATAAATGATTCGAATGAAAAGCCAATTGTTCAATTTGCCGGAGAGGCAACGAGTACCAAACACTATTCGTGCGTTCATGGAGCAATCGAATCCGGGTGGCGTGAAGCTGATCGTCTCATCAATTTTTACAAATAAATTTACAGGAATATTGTAATTGAGTCTCATTGAGATTCATTTGAATGAAACTCGATTAGAGAAATTGATTTGAACCTCGACTGAATAAAATGAAATTTTTTTGTGTGAAAACAAAAGTTGCAGAGAATCTGAAATTATTGTTTTAATTTGCAGACTTAATAATTTATAATTTGCATCAGCATGTCACTTCCGTCGCATGAACTTTTCTTTAATTTTTTTGTATCTTTATTTTCAATTTATAAAAGCTAAAACAAATTCAAATCAAACATTCAATTGGAACATTACACTGTAAAACCGATGGGATTAAAAATTAATATTTTCGGATTTTTTATATATAAAAATCTAAATGGATTAGAAAAAAATCCAAAAGGATTAAATTTTAAATCGATATGTGTGACAAGCAAGTGTGACAAAACACTAAAAAATGCCAATCTGCGAGAAAAGAGAATAAAAAGATCGATGGAGGTTTATAAATGTTGAATATGACATAATTTGATGCAGGGTTATTATCATGGTCTCTTTGTTCTATTGCCTCATTGAAAAAGAATTATTTCACCTGTGCCTATGACTGTACGCTGATAAATAAAAATAATTTTTATCTGTACCGTCTCTTCGAATCGCAATATCAATTTCCAAGTGCAAAATGTGTGTCACCTATTGTTATCGAATCGATTCAATTGATCATTTCGGTTATTTTTGCGTCGGACCTTTTACTCAGAAGGTAGCCATGATAAGATAAGATAAATTCATTTTGAAACGGTGCAATAATGTATAAAATTACTTTAAATTCGATTCGTGGTCAGTTTGTTTTTCGTTTTAATCGTAACAATGTATTTATCGATCATATGCGTGATACTCGTTGGCAGTGGTATAGGTAAAATTCTGTTGATTTTTTTTGCATAATTAAAAGAAAGTTTTTTTTTCTCAATCAAATGACTCGATTTCATTTAGTTGACAGTGCCGTTCGTACATCGCGTATCGTTGGTGGTGAGAAGGCAAAAATCGAAAATTTCAAATGGCAAGCCGCATTGTTAGAGAATTCAAAGATTTTCTGTGGCGGATCAATCATAACTCCAACCAAAATATTGACAGCCAGCCATTGCCTTGAAGGAAAAACAGATTTAACTAAGCTCCAGGCACGAGTTGGTTCATCGAATCCGTTGGAAGGCGGTGTTTTGAAATCAATTACTAAAATTCGTTCCCATCCGGATTTCAATAAACCAAGTAGCATGAACAACGATATTTGTGTAGTTTTTCTCGGCGAACCGTTAACTTTTGGAACGACCATATGTGGAATACTGTTGGCTGGAACAAGTATTATATTACCACCGGATACACATGTTGTTGTTTCTGGATTTGGAGTGATAACACCGAATGGCAATAAAGTCGACGTACTACATTCAGTGTCGGTGCCAATTGTTGATTACGATCTATGCTATAAAAGCTATAAAAGCTATAAAGGGCCCGGAAAACTAACGAAGAATATGATTTGTGCTGGTTTCTATGGGGTCGGTGGGAAGGATGCATCCAAAGGCGACAGTGGAGGACCATTGGTTTATTCCGGCAATTCAGATCCGATTTTATACGGTGTTGTCTCATGGGGAGCCAAATGTGCCGATCCAAATTATCCGGGAATTTATACAAAAGTCTCTGTTTACCGTGACTGGATCAATAATGTCAATTGAAATGCTAACATTTATGGCAGCTGTTTTTATTATGAAGTTTGATTTGAAAAAATGCAACAAATTATGTTTCATTGAAATTTAATATGTACCAAAATCCCATTGAAAAGTCCAATTTCTTGTTTAAATATTGTTTGGCCATATGGGCAAACATTGATCGATATGTCATTGAGAGTACACACCATACAAGGTGCCACATTGCACATACACAAGCACAGCTTCCATATGATTTACAACGTGCTTTGACATTTTCTTTATTTTGGCACCAATTTTCTCTTTATGTGTATCTGGACGTGTTCTATTTAGCATTCTCAATTCAATTAACAGTAAGTATTTTTACTGGCATGGATTTCGTTGTCTTCATTTTAGTGAGTGAAAAAAGTAATTTCCGTGTCAACTGTAGAATTTCACACATTTTTCAAAAAGAAAAACATCAAGTGACAAGATATTTTGACAAACATCTCATTTTTAATGCTGCGTATACACAATATCTGTCATTTGTTGGTGTTTGCCGCTTTTCTTTTGATACAAATTGGTTGAATCATGTGTAAGACTCTTAGACACGTCTAATTCTTTCTATGTTAGTCATTGTTTCGGTGTTCACTACAACTGAAATCTAGAAACAACTTGTTCAAAAACCTAGTGAAATAAACTTAAATAAAACTGATATAAGAATTTCAACAAAATAAGAGCAATTTTTCGCCGCAAAAATACATGAATCAAATCCTTGTTTGTGTTTGCCTTACGATTTGGGCTAATTTTGATCGAAATGTCAAGCAATAGCGAATACGCGCCAACCAACCAGCTCGCATCGCATACATACATACATTGTTTGACATTTCCATACCATCACACAAAAGGCAAATCTCTTCTGCTTTTAGAATTCACAGGAGTAGCACGTGCTACTGGAAGAACACGGTGCTATTCGGAAAGTTAGCCTAACGATTTTTTTTAATGAACCAAGTTAAAGAATAGTCAAAAATAAAGAAAAATCGACCATTTTTGTTTAGAATCAGTTGTTACTGGTGGGCCAGCCAAATAAAATTCGGGAAATTTGAAAATTAATTGAACCAATTTCATTGGGTTGGGTGAAGAAAGCAGTGAGTACCTTTTGAGATGTTAAAAATGTATTCAATATTAAATATTGTTAAGTAATGCAAACCATCGCTTTATTTTCAAAAAATTCAAGAATCTATTTCGGCTGTGTTTCTAATATGACACATTCCATGTAAATTTCGCGCTATAAAGTTTGGTGGCAAAAAAGTAATAATTTATTACTAATAAACGGTCATAGAAGGCCTTGAATTTTTTTCCTCTTTTAGTTCAAATAACAAAGCTAATGAATGTCGTTCAGATAAATTGTCTGCGCAATACGGAATGCTATAGGAAATGACCACATTTTGATTTTATTTCAGAAAAAAGGGTCAAAATATGGCACGAAAGAAACGAAATGCACACGGATTCAAATCCAATATCCCGGCCAAACAAGATCGTAAAGCGGCAGAAGATTTGATAAAATTAATGGAACAGATGAAGCAAAACGGCAAAGCAATCCATCCACATCAGTAAGTTTTTCGTCTGAATAAAAGAAATTCGATTAGATTCACAAATTATTCATTTTTTTAATTAGATTTAGAGGTGAAGTCCACAAAGAATTATGCAAAATTTGGCGATGCGCTGTTTCTGCACGAAGCCACAACCGTCTTCGTGCAATATTAGAATTCCGAACAAAGGAGGAATGGTTCCGTACTCGGTACGACAAAGTGTCACCACCATCAAAGCAAACCTTGCAACGTCGCAAAGCGACCAAAAAGCAACAATAACAACTGCCGCAATTACGCTAAATAAAAGGAATAATGAAACATGCTCGTGCACGTGAAAAATATAAATAATCTTGTTTCTGCATGTTAATTTTAACAATGTAATTGATCAATTGGCAATAAATTCTTCATTCACTGAATTAAAATCAAATCGCATTTATAAGTTTTATTGATATATCAACTAAATTGTCACTTGGGACAATACACACTAGAATAAAGGATCTATCACAAATAGAAATTCATGTCTTAATGTGATTACAAACTCATTTGCTGTTACTTTAAATTAAAACTTGAACTAATGTTCTATTCGTTTGTATTTGATGTATGTTATGTTTTTATTAAAGTTCACACAATTTTGTCTACAGAAAAATTCTTAAATCTAAATTATCTTGGGAAATGAACAAGTTGAAATAATTAGACGCAATGAAAAGAATGGAAATTTTTGAAGAAAACTGTAAGTTGAAGAATTTACGACCAATATCGATGTTTGCAGTTATAACGCTGTAATGAGTAAGTCATTGATGATTTTTAACGATGAATAGTATTCAAATGAAGTATAAGAGATTCCTTCATTTTAAAGCGCTTCTCGCATATGTCGCAACGAAATGGTTTTTCATCCGTATGATTCCGCATATGTATCTTCATATTGGATTTATTTCGATTAGAAAATTTCTTGCAAATATAGCATTCGTACAATCGATGGTTGCAACCATTTTCATGTTCGTCTTTCTCAATTTCCGTTGAAAACCCACGGAAGCACTTGAAACAATGGAACGCGAACTCGGTGGTATGGGTCTTCATGTGCACATTCAGGTGAGCTTGTTGTGTAAAACGTTTCAAGCAACGATCACATCGATAAGGTTTCTCACCTGTGTGAGTACGCACATGAATTTGTAAATTGCCACTATAATCACTGCTATATTCGCAAATCTTGCACTGGAATCGTTTTACTTTTTTCGGATTTACGTTGATTGTTTCGCCGGTTCTTTTACGAGTGTTTGAACCAACGACCGATGGTTTCGAATTGTGAGTGCCAACCCGATTTCCATCTTTTTGAGCGTTTATATCATTCACCAGTGGTAAAACCGCTTCAGCAAAAGTGCGTCTTTTGTTTCCCGAGCTTTTGATCTGGTCCAAGTTTTCGCCATAATTTTGAACGTTTGACATATTTTGATCGGGATCATCGTCAATGATTTCGATATAATTGTTTTCAGTCGGGTTTTGTCTTTTGATCGTTGTCGAACCAATTACAAAATTATTGACGCCTCTAGGGGCTTTTATCTTCAAATGTATACGATTTAAACTCTAAATAGTGAACTATATTGCAAAATCATCTGTAATACGCGCAAATAAATGTGCATAACTGCATATATTTGGTGTATATTTCGTGTATATTTCGTATATATTTCGTCTATGGCATGTTTTTTTGTTCTCTTTTGTGCGGATCTTCTTCGATTCTGTGTAGCAATACTGTGTGTGTGTGTACACTGAAGTTTGAAATACATCTTATTCACTGGTATAGGCGAGAAATTTTAATCGTATATATGATGAATAGGACGTGAATATTGTGTATAAATTTGTATGAACGAATGATGAAAGCCCCTAGTGACGCCTGATGTCACGGTGCTGGACAGACCTTGTCTTCCTGCAAAATCAGTACATGGATAAAAACGATCAAATGAGTCTAGACCTCGTGCCGGTGTATTTGTGAAGAGATCAACATCATCGTTTCTAATTTCTGTGTAGCTATTCCCGTCTTCCAACAAGCAATCGAATTCAAATTTGTCATAAGTTTCCATCAATCTGAAGAAGCATTCAAATAAAAATATTCATTTATATTGGTTCAAGTCGAAATTTGTTGCAAAACCAAAAGCAAAGAAACAAAACTCACCGATTGGTCGACGTACGTAAAAATATCTCCTTGAAATTGGATGGCATTGACGAACCGTTACGGTTAAGAGACATTCTCATGATGCGTAATGAATATATTGCTTGACTTTCAAACTTGGCCAACATGTTGTTCATCTCCTCTATCCAGTTTGATGGTGACATGTTCATCTACGTTTGGAGATTTAAACAAATATTTTGATAAAAGGGATCTTTGGATTGTTTTTAAAGCACAATGAATGAAAGCTTGTAAAAGTTTGCATCAGACGCCATATGGACCATATGGACGTGAGTGAAAGTTTTTCCAAAAAATATGACGTCATAAAAATTATGAGAAAATGACACAAATTGAGTGGCTTACCTTTGGTTTTTAGGTTATGCGCGAGTAAAGTGAGAGACTTGGTGATATTTAATTGGAAAATGTATTACGAAACACCCTTGATCACACTACAGAAGCTTGCTATAAACGAAAATTTGGAATTTTTCTGATTTTTCAACAAAATCAATGGTTTGGCGCGACAAAATATGTTCTCTGCTCCGTTCAGTGAGACGTCAACGAGTATTTTGAGTTAACATAATGACAGAAACAAACAGCATGTTTTAATTTGTGAATTGAATCCGCCCAATATCGTGCAAAACATCGGCGAATTCAGTCCGTTGCACAAAATGAAATAGATTTCCAATGTTTTCATATATACAATAGATTCATTTTTTATTTTCATACCTCTTTAATTGATAAATTAAATCACTTTATTTTTATTTGTAGAAGTCTTTAACAAAGTTTTGCAAAAAAAAAGAATCACAAATGATTTTCTTCCGTTTTTACCAGTGACATCTGGATCGAATTGAAAATGACGCCGCGAGATATGAACCTTCTAAAAAAGCGCGAGATAGAGGGTTTAAAATTGAAGTTGAAGGAAGCCTTTTTAGTGCTCAAACTGTGATAAGAGTTTTGAGTTGCGATGAGAATTCATAATATATGAAGCAACACCACCAAAAACTGGCCTTCACTTCCCTGTAGCCGTGTGTTTCTATATGAGCTCCATGCCTTTGACTCGTACCTCACTTGCAAAATTCATAGCAAAAGTATTTGTAAAATATTTGAAGACTTTATTTACTTAATTGTTTTTACAATATAAAAGTATTTGAATAAAAAACTGAAATGTCACAATGGTTTATATGATTTTTGGAAGTTGTAATTTTAACAATTTTTTAGCGATATTCGCTTGATATAATTTCAAAAAAATTCCTCCAACCACTGGCTTCAAAACAGAATAGAAAAATAATTTTAAAAAACTATTCGTTGCGAAATCGACTTTTTGAAGGTTTTGCAACTTTAAAATGGAAATGGTCTTGAAACTTATAAATCACTGTCTTCAGAGAGGAAGGTGCTTTGATCAGATGTCAAATGCTTCTGTTTGTTGTTAAATTGCACTAGTTCCAATGGGACAAATGAAGTTGACGTTGCTTTGCAACGAATTTTCATACTATCGCTGTCGTTGGTGTCGGATGCTGATTGTTTTTTGCCGCTCGACTTCTGACTTCGACGTGTATGTCGTTTTTTCGGTGTCTTAATGTTTTGGCATTGTTCGAATACAATCGGTTCATCTTCGATAAAAATCGGTTTCTTTTTTGTGTTTCCTCCAGGAACATCATCAACCTTAATGTCTGGGTTCTAAAAGTATATCTTCGTGAATTAGAGAATTCTTAATAATTGCCATTTCATGGAACTCACGTCTTCGTTAACACCAACGACAACTGTTTTTTGATTTCCTTTCGACTTGTCAACTTCCACTGAAACAGTGCCTTCTTCTTTGACTTCTTTAATCGCAGGTACTTTATGCTGTATCAATAGAACAAAAATCAATAAAAGCTGTTCTTCGAAAGTAAATTCAGACACTTACAACCAACTGAACACAATCAGCATTCGCCTCTATTTTCACCGGCTGTTTTTCAACTGGAGTGTATTTAAAAGCTGAGCCAACGTTATGGTCCTGCGTTGGTTCCTACAAATATTTTTTTCGTTTCAGTCATGATGAAAAAAGATTTGACTACTTTTTTCATTACAAAAGAACCATGGCAAAACTTACAAAAAATTCCATTATTTCCTGGGTATTCTTCGACAATTTTGGCAAACCATTATTTATCGCCATGGCTGAATTCATTTCACTTGGATATGGTGTTGACTGAAAAATTGAACGATTAGGAACATCCCAAACAATATTCTTCATTTCAGTATCATCTTCCTCGGTCTTATTTGCACCTTCATCAACTTGCGGCAACTGTACATTCTTGCGATTGATGAATTTCAGAAGATCCGTGTACATTAGACGATACTTCTCTTGGTTGTTGAACTGGTCGATGTCTTTGGATTCTTTGCAAATCCAATGTGATTCCCCAACGACATCGTCGAACAATTTTTCAATGAATTTCTCCGGCGTGGTGTCCAAGTGAGTGTACAAGATCTCCAGAACTCGTGACTGCAACAAGCCCAGCTTGGGGATGATCTTCGCAATCGCTTTGCTGAAATACACAATTTTAGAACAATTACCCTTAAAATGATGCTTCCGAAGTAACAATCAAATAAAAAAAAGTAAAATACGTCACGATTCGCTTATTTTTCGTGAAAACTCAATGGAATTCGCTTACAATTTCTTCAATTGATGATTGAAAACGCGACTTTTGACTTTCGCCGGGAAATATTCCATTTGCTTCAGCCACACCGTTGTGATTTGGTCCAAAAATGCATGCTGAACGTTTGGTAATAACAATACATCACACATTGACTGCGCTATTTGCATGTAATGGTCTGCCATTTCCTTTTCGTGCAAATCCTATCGAAAATAACATGTTTTGTGGTAAACAACGATCAATAAATTGTATCCTACTCACATTGAACAGTTTCAAATTTTGAACAAAAGCCTCACACAATGCGTCACCATTTTCTTGATCCATTTGTTGAACAATAAAACACTGCATTTTACCAATATCAGTGCTCACCAATTTCTGTGGGGAGAAAATCCATTTTTTAAAACGACTCAAGAAGAGACGGTAGGGAATTGAATGAGCAAAGAAAGGGTCCCGAGATTTTGTTGGAAACAAATTTCTACTTTTCAATCTATCGGTTCTCTTTGATCCCTTCCAAAGCTGTTATTGACACCGCAGAGTGTTGTACACTTATCTACACTTTCTCTACACTTAATTGAAACTAGTATAAATTTTG